ACGAAGCAGACTGGGACGAGCAGACCGTCGACAACGCATCAGAAGAAGCCGGACCTCTCCTGTTCTGCTCCGTCAACGTCCCCATGGACGAAGAAAATCCTCGCGAAAGCGCCAACGCCGAAGTCTTCTACCACTTCGCCGACAATGGTTACGTAACACCTGCGACAGTCATCACCAACGAAGCAGAACGGATAGGGCCGAATTTCATACCCGACCCAGAAGCGGGAGATGAAGCAGCTTATCCCGAGGACACAGTGTCAGCAGATCTCCACTGTGGATGCCCGATTGATCCTCGAGAGGGTTATAGGCGCGTTCGCCTGGGGGGTTATGGGCGCACTAACCCGCTACTGAAACAAGCCCTTTAATCCCAATGGTCTAGTGGTTGGGATTCAGAGATGGTATCAGAGCGAAGGTCTCGGGTTCGAATCCCAGTATGTGCACTTCGGGCATCCCAGTGCGGGGGGGGTGTCAGAGGTCCACCGGTGATCCCTGATCGATCCTAGGGAAGGGTTACAGGCTCGTTGTCCTGGGGGGTTATGGGCGCACTGACCCGCTACTTAACAAGCCCTTTTATCCCAATGGTCTAGTGGTTGGGATTCTGACATGGTATCAGACCGGTCTCGGGTTCGATTCTCGGTGTATGCACATGTAGGCCGTTGCCGCTGTGCTTAGTCCTGGGCCTCCCAGTGTGGGGGGGTGTCAGTAGATCTGCACTGTGGATGCCTGATTGATCCTGGAGAGGGTTACAGGCGCGTTCGCCTGGGGGGTTATGGGCGCACTGACCCGCTACTGAAACAAGCCCTTTTATCCCAATGGTCTAGTGGTTGGGATTCTGACACACAGCACTCCCCCGCTACTCACAAGCCCTTTTATCCCAATGGTCTAGTGGTTGGGATTCTGACATGGTATCAGACCGTTCTCGGGTTCGATTCTCGGTGTATGCACATGTAGGCCGTTGCCGCTGTGCTTAGTCCTGGGCCTCCCAGTGTGGGGGGGTGTCAGTAGATCTGCACTGTGGATGCCTGATTGATCCTGGAGAGGGTTACAGGCGCGTTCGCCTGGGGGGATATGGGCGCACTGACCCGCTACTGAAACAAGCCCTTTTATCCCAATGGTCTAGTGGTTGGGATTCTGACACACAGCACTCCCCCGCTACTCACAAACTGGACTGCAGATTCTCGGCCTCGTCACCGCAGTCCACGGCAACGCTCTTCCTAAAGAGCCTGCGACGGTTCAGCAGGCTCCGGGGGGGGAACACAGGGAGAAATGGCGTGAAGCCATGGACAGAGAATTAAAAGCGCTGGAGGAACGTAACACCTGGAAAGTCGTTCCCGTAAGCGTGGCAAGTAACAAGACCATCCTCACCGGGAAATGGGTCTTCCGCATCAAAACGAAAGCAGACGGCACAATCGAGAAATTCAAAGCACGCTGGGTCGTGCGTGGATTCGACCAGGAGCACGGACGGGACTTCACCGAGACATTCGCCCCGGTCAGCCGACATACCTCACTCCTTATTCTCATCGCGATCGCCGCTATGAAGAAAAAGAAACTGCGGCAAATCGATGTCGCCAACGCATTCCTCTACGCACCCGTTGACGCCGAAATCTTCGTCGAGCTCCCACACGGTACCCACGGGGAACCTAATCAGATTTGCCAGCTGCTGAAATCGCTCTACGGAATCAAACAAGCCCCGCGGCTGTGGCAACAGCACCTACACACTCGCCTCACTCGCACCGGATTCCGCCAACTGCCTCACGACCAAGGGATGTATCGACTCACCAAAAACGCCGACTATATCCTGCTAATCGTCTACGTCGACGACCTACTCTACATTGGCTCCACTGACGACATCACCACCTGGTTCGAAGGGGAGCTGCAGAGGGACCTCACACTCACGGTCTCCTCTACCGTCACTCAGTACCTCGGACTCAACATCCGCGAAGAAGAGAACGCGATCTATCTCAGCGCCGAAAAGTATGCCGACACTATCGCCAAACGCTTCGCACTCACACCTACTACTTTCTCCACGCCATAACGCTACACGGCATGGAACGACAAGGGAAGTTCCGCTCTACTCAAAACCGCCGGAATACGCGACTACCAGAGAAAGATGGGCTGCCTTCTCTTTGCAGCCGTCACCTGCCGCCCAGATCTGTCCTACTCCGCAAGTCAACTCGCCACCTACCTCAAGAGACCCGAAACCGAACACCTAGCGGAGCTCGACCACGCACTACACTACTTCGTAAGCACCTCAACGATCGGTCTGACATATCACAAGACTACAACTACACTGACGAAACTAATCGGCTACGCCGATGCCGATCACGCCGGCGACTCAGACAACAGGCGCTCCCGCACTGGCTACATCTACCGCCTCGAACCTATCGGACCTATCTCCTGGCAATCGAGCAAGCATGAACTAATCGCTCTCTCTTCAGCTGAAGCAGAATATATCGCCCTCTGCTCAGCCACCAAGGAAGGACTCTATCTTCGCGAGCTGTTGGAAGAAGCAAAGTTAGCCGAGTTACCCTACTTCACTTTGTTCTGCGACAACCAATCTGCGATTCGCATTGCCAACAAGAGCGGATTCGCAAACAGAACGAAGCATATCGCTCTGCGATATTTCTTTGTGAAAGACGAGACCGAGAAAGGGAAACTCGAACTATCCTACTGTCCCACGTCCGAGATGGCAGCCGACTACTTGACCAAGAAACTCGGAAAACAGAAGCTCGAGTACTGCATGCTGCTGACTGGACAAAGCCACGTCACCATCAGCGACACTCCAGAAGCGAAGGGGAGTGTTGGGAACAAATAAGTCCTAAACGCCTCTGTCGTGTCGAAACTCTAAGACACAAGCGAAGCAACGCAATCGAAGCACCAGCGAGTCAACCCTCGGAGGTTGATGTAACCGCTGGAGGTTACGCGAAAGTCAAAGGTCAGCGACCTTTGACCTGACAAATACAGCACGACAGCAAGGACATACAACTGACTCGACATTGAGCAGTTGCCCGAGTCGCACTGTATCGAACCGCAACAGTAAAGTAGTTATAATGTCTCTTCATATTCTCCGTACTCATATACATATATATTCCTGTATCCCTTTGTTTTAATCAACTTACTTTGCCCTCACATACTAGCGCAAGGTGGTTCAAAGACTTTATTCAAACGCTTCCGCTATTACATCATTTTACTCAGACTTTAACTCTACAAAGATCCTAGGGCGTCTCAGCCCAACAGAACTAAGGGTAAGCAGCGAAAAAGAAAGAGTGAGCAGCTGGGGAGGTGGAGGGCGCGGCATTGACAGCAGTGACGGGTGGGACGGAGCTTTGAGGGCCAGAAGATTGGTTGCTAGGACTTGCAATTGATGGGGTGGAGGCGGCGAGAAAGGGATGGGGGCCAAGAGAGGAAGGAGAGGCGAGTGAGGGAGGAGGCGTGGAGGGAAGGGAGAGAGTGCAGGAGCGGAGGCAGTGGGAGGACGGAAGGGAGTAGAAGGGAAGGGAGAGTGGCGTCGCAAAGGGAGGGGATGGGGAGGCAGATGTGTGTGGGAGGGGGTTCTATCAAGCCACGATGAGTACAGAGAGTGGGGATAGGATACAGAAGCACGACATAACAAGGAGGGTAAACGGGTCTAAGAGAAGAGCGGTGATAGGGCTAGGACACCGGAGTAGGGGTGGGGAGGAGGGAGAGCTGGACAGACACGAGAGAGTGAAAGAATGACGGGGAGAGAGAAATGACGGGGAGGTGAGGAAACAGAGAGAGGAGAGTGATCACATGGCGCGGTTTTCTTGACAGAGTGGGAGATTTGAGAAGCAGGGAGAGAGCACGGGTGGGGCCATTTTGACAGGAAACTCATGTATGGCGTGAGTGGTTGATGGCAGCTGCCCTTCCACCTGCTGCCCCACCCTCTGCCGTTTCAAACTCATATGCTATAGTCTGTGTAGGCTGTTATGGGGTAGACAATATGGGGTACAACACTTTTAGGTTTTCCTACTTGTACCCACCTGCTTGCTAGTTCATTCATTCCTCATTTCTTCACATGGTATAGAGCAGGTTCCCTAGTGGGAACGCTTCTCAGGGCCCACCACTGAAATCGACTTTTTTTTTTCCTTACCGGAGCGCGAGTCGCCCCTGCCCGAGGCGCGCCCTGTTGGCCGCCCTCACGTCGCCTCTCACGGCCCCTCGCGCCACCCTTAGCGGCCCCGTCGCCACCCCTTACGGCCCCGACGCCGTCCTTTGCGGCCCCGTCGCCGCCCCTCTAGGCCCCTCGTGGCCCCTTCGCGGCCTCGTCGCCGCCCCCTCTAGGCCCCTCGCGGCCCCTTCGCGGCCCCGTCGCAGCCCCTAGCGGCCCCGTCGCCGCCCTTTGCGGCCCCGTCGCCACCCCTAGCGGCCCCGCGCCGCCCCTATCGGCCCCGTCGCCGCCCCTAGCGGCCCCGTCGCCGCCCCTAGCGGCCCCGTCGCCGCCCTTAGCGGCCCCGTCGCCGCCCTTCGCGGCCCCGTCGCCGCCCTTCGCGGCCCCGTCGCCGCCCTTTGCGGCCCCGTCGCCGCCCCTAGCGGCCCCTTCGTCACCTTTCGCGGCCCCGTCGCCGCCTCTAGCGGCCTCGTCGCCGCCCTTCGCGGCCCCGTCGCCGCCTCTAGCGACCCCTCCGCCGCCTCTAGCGGCCCCGACGCTGCCCTTCACGGCCCCGTCAGCTGCCAAGCAGCCAAACCGCCCAGCCGCCGAGCCGCCCAGCAGCCGAGCCGCCCAGCAGCCGAGCCGCCCAGCCGCCGAGCCACCCAGCAGCCGAGCCGCCCAGCAGCCGAGCCGCCTAGCAGCCGAACCGCCCAGCACCCGAGCCGCCCAGCAGCCGAGCCGCCCAGCAGCCGAGCCGCCCAGCAACCGAGCCGCCGAGCCACCGAGCCGAGCAACCGAGCCGCCGTCGAGCCGCTACTGTTCCTACCGGCGCGCCCCGGCCCTACCCACCCGGACTGGTGAGAGCACTCCCTGCTAGACCACTGCTGTCATGGCTACCCCCCGTGTCCTTACCTTTGATGCTGAGGGTCGTGCTGTTGACTTTGAGGTCTGGGTCGATGACCTACAGCTGTTCCTACAGTGCGATAGGGCAGACGGACTCTCCCTGTTTGATCTCACCTCTGGTGCCTCTCCTGCCCCGCCTGCTACTGTTGACAGCACTGTTCGCTCACAGTGGGCCACACGCAATGCTGCTGCCCGTCTTGCTGTGCGTCGCCACTTACCGACCGCTGAGCGTGCGCACTTTAGTCAGTACAAGAGTGCTAAGACCTTGTACGACGCTGTAGTTGTACGCTACTCTTCCCCTGCCACTGCTGCTCTTAGCCGCCTCATGCTGCCGTACCTGTTCCCTGACCTTGTTGCCTTTCCCACAGTCGCTGACCTCATTACGCACCTTCGCACTAGTGACACTCGCTACCGCGCTGCGCTTCCTGCTGAGTTCTGTGCCAAGAACCCCCCCCCCATGTACATCACCCTCTACTACATAGTCACCCGGCTCCCTGACTCCCTTCGCTTAGTCAGGGACCACTTCCTCTCAGTTTGCCCCACCACACTCACCGTTGACCTCCTCGAGGAGCGCCTCCTTGCAGCAGAGAAGAGCATAGTCGCTGTAGGAGCCTCTCGTGGTGACCCTCGTACCCCCGTCTTTGAGGGGTGTTCCCCCTCCCCCCTCTTGCCCTCTGTTGTTTCTGCTGCTGCGGCCGACCTCGTTGGCTTCGAGTCGGTCGGCGCTGCGTCTCCCTCTAGCGGGAGACGCCGCACCGGCAAGGGCAAGGGGGGCAAGGGCGCTGGAGGGGCTGGCGAGGGCGGTGGAGGTGGTGGTGGAGGCAGTCGAGGGGGTGGGGGTGGTGGTGGGAGTGGTGGCGGGGGTGGAGGTGTCGGTGGCAGCAGTGGAGGCGAAGGAGGCGGCGGCGGTGGCGGTGGGAGCGGAGGCGGCGGAGGTGGCGGAGGCGGCGGCGGCGGTGGCGGTGGAGCTGGTCGCGGCTCTGCACGGAGGAGTGGCTCCGGTGGTGGTCCGCGCCAGCTGCAGCAGCGCACTCGTGAGACCCCGTCCCCCCAGCAGCTTCGTGAGTGGTACGCTGGGCGTCAGCGAGGTGGGGGTATTGGTCCCTGTACCTACGTCCTCCGTACCGGCGACCACGCTGGTGAGCAGTGCGGGGGCCCGCACTCCACCCAGCGCTGCTTCGGCCGCCTGACGGACGCTTGGCGTCACCAGTTCCCTGACGCCACTGAGATCCCTCGCTGGGGAGAGCTGTCTAGGGCGGGGGTTGCTATCTTTGATCCTGACTATGATGCTAGTCTTGCTGCCATGTATGCTGTGTCTACTAGTGATGAGGGTGACTGTTACCTATGTGTTCCCTCCCTCTCTTACCCCACCCTCTGCTTCTCCACGTCGCACTTGGAAATATGGGAATGTCGGCAACAACAAATTGTGGCACCTGTTTATCAACGAGCTACCCTTACGCCAGACGTCCATCCATCTGGTGAACCAGGAGGGTGACGGCAGAGGGCAGGACAGGGGTGAAGAGAAGGTGAGTTGCGTGGGGAGATAGGGGGGTTTGAGAAGGGTGTAAGGCAGAGAGGGGAAAGGGGGAAGAAGGGTGAGGGGATAGGACAGGGCGGAGTGAGGTTGTAGGATAGGGTGGAGAGGAGGGATAGGAGAGGGCAGAGAGGGGGGAAAGAATAGGGAAAACAAGTGGGAAATGGAAGGATGGGGAAAGAGGGCAGGGAGGGGTGAGGGGAGTTTGAGAGGGGAGTAAGGTATAGAAAGGGGTATAGTAGAGGGGCTGCAACAGGGGGTGAAAAGACAGGGGAGGGGTGAAATGAGAGAAGGGAGGGGCTTGAAGGGAGAGAGGGAAGGGAGGATCGAGAGAGCAGGGAGTGGAGTGAGAGAAGATTGAGAGAGGGGACAAGGAGGGGAGAGAGGGACGCACGCATGATGGCATGAATGCGCTCCCTCTGCCTCTAAAATCTCCCGGACGTGTTTATTCCGCCTACTGCCCATCATGGCTCCCGCTGCCGTTGCCACTGCAGCGCTGCCTGCTGCAGCGAGACCGCTAGTTACTGGCGCTCATGCTTACGAGGATTCTCTGCTTCGATATAGCGCAGGCGCTCCGCAGATTCAACGCAGTTGGTGCAGTCGGGTTAGTCGGCGCAGAGCTAGCGCGTGCGCGAGTGTGCGCTCGCGCGGAGGGGAGGACGGCGGGGGCAGAGGACGTTGAATGCGGGTCCAGCGATCAGATTCTCTATATCGAAGGTGCGCTACACGAACATGAACGAAACGTTGTGGGGAGGGAGAGGGTGACGGGAGGGGGAAGGCGAGGTCGACGGGAGGGGGAAGGCAGGTCGACGGGGAAGCAGGTGGAAGCGGCTCCTTCCGTCCCCCTCGAGACCCCCCCCCCTCCCTGTCACTCCTCACTCTTGTCCGCCACGCGTGCGAGACTGCTCCTTGATCCCGTCTGCCCCTTGCGCAAATACGCTACTACCTCCCGTCCACGCCTTGCCTTAAACCGCTGCTCCCTTTCTTCGCGTGTTCCTCCCGCGTAATCGCGGCTCACTCCCGCGTAACGGGGCGAAGCAGGGGAAACGGCGAGCATCGAGCGGAGCTGCACTAGTGGCAACACTGAAAGCGGGGTGCGGAAAGCAGGAGCGAATGCGCTGAGCTGAAAGCGGGGAGCAGGATGCAGCGAGCAAGCCCCTTGCGACGCGTTGGTTGCAACGAGCAACGTCAGTTCTGCGGCGACCGTCGCCGAGTGGGCTGCGACACGCGGCGACTAGCGGCCATTCGAGCTTCGAGCTGTAAGCGGAAGGCGACGCGGGAGGATGACGATTATAAGACTACAAATGGCATCAACACGCCTACGAACGATGACTTGAATGGCTCGCTATCGGCCAGCGACGAACTGCGACATTTGAACCGTGGCAATCTATCCGTCTCTTTTGACAAATAGCGAGATGTTCTAAACTCTTACCAAGTCTAACGCTTCCTAAGGCTAATAAGAGGTCATTGGCGGGCCCTCTGCTTTTGTGGCTGGGTTGTTGTGGAGCGAGTTTTGGTACACAAATTCCATTGCAGTACTAGCAAGTTCCCAACCCAGTTTCCTTCGCGCACAACTGACAGGGGGGAACACCTCGTCGCTCTCTGCAGGGGTTGGGGCATAGTTGTCGCCCTCCACTTCTTGCCACAAACCCGGTAACCACCCAGAGGCAAGTGATAAACCTTTGCCTCCACCCCCCCCAAAAGTGCACCCTTGCTTTAATTCTTACGGTATGTTAACATGCAGATGCCACACCCCGTTATCAAAATCAGGCCGTGCTGCTGATTGTCAATCACCCCAAAAGGGGGTGATGACAGACAGGCATCAGACATTTATGGATGTCCCTAACGCCAGACATGTATGTGAGTGACCCACCTTCGTGTCGCCAAGTACCGTAGATCTCTGAGCCCAGAACCAATCGGAGGGTCTAGTGCGTGTTGCCATGTGAATATGATCTGTAAGCCTTCCTCAAACGGACCAGAGAAATATTTACTGACCGATTGAGTTGGATTTCCCATAATTGGATTATTGGAGACGTTTTGTGCCTTTGGACAGATAAAGTGGCAAGAAGTTAAGGGCCATGCGAGACATTTGTGACCTTTGCATCAGAATCCCCTGCACAGCACAGCACCAAAAGAAGGTTCAGGGCAGAAAAAAAAAGGGTTGGGGAATGCAAGCAAATGGGGTATCGTATCAATTAGTACTGGTTCCGGTCGCGGTGAAAACATGGAAAGAGATTTTGTAGAGGGGCAACTGTTGGGCATACACAGAATGAAGGATGAGTCATATGGACGTTGAGTGAGACGGAACAGAAGCATACACAGAACAAGCTGATGCGGAGAAGTTGTGTGCTTCAGTAAAACGCACAGTATTCCTGATAGAAGACACTCATTCAGATGGCAAGAAAACATCGTCTTTGTATCAGGTCAGAGGTACATTCCCTCCCCGTCGCCCCACATTCCACATGCATCACACCACATCCGATCATCCCACTGGCTTGCCCATACCTGCAGGGCTTGCCCATACCTGTAGGGCTTGCCCGTATCTGCAGGGCTTGCCCAAACCTGCAGGGCTTGCCCGTACCTGCAGGGCTTGCCCATACCTGCAGGGCTTGCCCGTACCTGCAGGGCTTGCCCGTACCTGCAGGGCTTGCCCGTACCTGCAGGGCTTGCCCGTACCTGTGAGGCTTGCCCATACCTGCAGGGCTTGCCCATACCTGCAGGGCTTGCCCATACCTGCAGGGCTTGCCCATACCTGCAGGGCTTGCCCATGCCACTCCAGGCATGAGCCCATCATCCCACCCGCAAACAGCCATGGCCCTCCTTCCCCATGCATCCATGCTCACTGCTGCACTCCCTCCCCACCACCCTACCCCACCTGGAAGCTTGCCCATCACACCCCCATCACCCATATCCCTCATCCCACCCCACCCACCTAGCATCACATCTCATCCCACCCCACCTAGCATCACATCTCATCCCACCCACCTTGCACGTTGGCCATGATCCACGCGGGCTTCTGGCGAAAAAATCTCTGGTGCCGCCTGACCATCCCACCTGGAGTGCTTGGCTTGGCCCCCATGCTCGCCCCACCATACCTGAAGCGCTTGACCATCCTTCCTTCATCCCATCCCACCCACCTGGCGTGTTTGGCCATGGTCCAGTCGAGCTTCTGCCGAAATTCCCGCTGCTGCCACCTGATCTCCGCCTCCTCGGCGCGCAGCCGCTTCAGCTCCGCGCCCTTCCAGTAGTGCGACCTCGCCCGAGCCACGTGGATAGCATTGTCCGTTCGTAAATTTATCTTGAACCTGCAAAGAGAGGGGGGGAAGAGGGGGGCGAGGGGGGGGGAGAGGGGGGAGCGCAGTCGCTTCAGCTCCACGCCCTTCCAGTATTGCGCCCTCGCCCTCGCCACCCTTATGGCGTTGAGCGTGCGTAGCTTGATCTTGAACCTGTAAGCGGGGGAAGGGAAGGGCTGGGAAGGGAGAAGAGGGAGCAGCAAGGGCATTGGAGTTATCTCCGCGGCATTGCCCGCGCCACCCTTATGGCGTTTTCCGTGCGTAGCTTGATCTTGAGCCTGCAAGGATGGGGAGAGGGGAGGAGCGACAAGTGCATGGGAGTGGCATTGAGCATCCGTGTGCCATTGACCATCCGTGTGGCATTGACCATCTGTGTGGCATTGACCATCCGTGTGGCATTGAGCATCTGTGTGGCATTGAGCATCTGTCTGGCATTGACCATCCGTGTGGCATTGACCATCCGTGTGGCATTGACCACCCACAAATCTAAACCAGCATGCAGGCAATTTGAGCATTCAAAAGCAGACAACTTTCTCGGGTCGCATGCCTTCACACACGCTCGGGTCGCAAGAGCGTAGAAACTCAGCCTGTGCCTGTTCTACTCTCAAGGTGACGTTTGAGTTGACTCAAAAGTCACCTTAGACTGATCCTGCTCTGCTCCACGAGGCTGTGTCACAGTGCTGCTACCCGAGCCTGTTCCCCGATCTGTCTTACAAGGTTGTTGGGTCCTACACGTGAGAAGCGAGCGAGTCAGAGCGTGGGTGGGTGAAAGCACGGGTGGGTGAAAGCACGGGTGGGTGAAAGCACGGGTGGGTGAGAGCATGGGTGGGTGAGAGCATGGATGGGTGAGAGCATGGGTGGGTGAGAGCATGGATGGGTGAGAGCATGGGTGGGTGAGAGCATGGATGGGTGAGAGCATGGGTGGGTGAGAGCATGGATGGGTGAGAGCATGGGTGGGTGAGAGCACGGGTGGGTGAAGGAATACGGTATATTAAAGAGCGTAGCGATAGCGAGAGAGTTTCTGCTATGGGAATGATGTTGCGCCAGCAACTTGGTCGAGCTTCGATAGCGTCTGTCTCTAAGGACTTAGTGAGAATTGAAGTAGCATTTTGGGCCAAGTAGAATTGCAATATCAACCATGAAATACAAAGCAAACACACAAGATAGATATAGGCTACGGGTAGGTTCACAAAGTTGGTGTGGCGCTGCGGGGTAACCCAACCCCACGAAAGTGGTGTGTGGGTGAGCGAACGCGCCTCGCCAATTTCCCAACCCACCTCAACAGCGAAAGTCACTGCCGAGCACGCCAGTTCTCCCAGCACAGCTGGAAGTAGTGTGACCAAGCAAGAAGTACCCACAACTACCAAGACTAGCTAGGAAGTGGCTGAATCATTCCCACAACTTCCCTAGACTAGCACCACCCCAGCAACGACTTTATTAGCGCCATTATAGTCACACGACGTCATCACGCTAGTATCGCCAAGTCACAGGGTTGGTGCTGGGCTGTTCGTAGTCTTGCTTAGTCGGTTGTCAACCTGCCAAGTCAGGAATATCGCGAGGGCCCTTGCTGTCGTAGGGCTCTCTAACAAGAGCATGGGTGGGTGAGAGCATGGGTGGGTGAGAGCATGGGTGGGTGAGAGCATGGGTGGGTGAGAGCATGGATAGGTGAGAGCATGGATGGGTGAGAGCTTGGACGGACAAACAAGTCAATGCCTGACCTATCCTTCCCTCTCCCCCATGCCTCAGTTTTTACTTAAAGCCTAACTCACTTCTTAATAGCTCAATCCACATCGCCTCTCAACGAACACGCCCCTCGCCTGCTCCGCGCCCCCATTGATCGCTTCCTCATGCCTCACTCACCCTCTCCTCTGTCCCCAATAGCTCACCCTCTCACCCTCTCCCCCCACTCCCCCCTAAGGGCGTGTGACATTTTCTAAAAGTTGTAAAAGTCCAGACAACTGTCCAAGAACGGTTCGATTACCGAATATCGGACGGTCCTAGTCCAACGTCCAGACTGAGCCTCGTCCGGACGTAGTTATGACACTTTTTTCAAACTTATGAAATTTGGAATACCGACGAGATTGTAACCAGGACAACGATGCCATCGCGATATAGGTAACGTCCAAGCGACACGCGGAGAAGAATTCGTCGGCCAGTGAAATCGCGTTACTGTTGCGACCGTCCGCATTTCGAACGGTATGCGTCCGGACAATTTGAGAGGGCAATATATGCAAAAAGTTCCATCTGAAGTCCGGTCGTTTGCGACGTCGCATGGGTCCCAACGAAAAACCCTACGAGAACTAACGAAGCGGGTAACCCTTAAGATGTCCGGACCAAGTCTTATCCGGACGGGCAAGATGGGAAAATGTCACACGCCCTAACTCACTTCTTGATGGCTCGATCCAAGTTGCCCTATTTAACCTCCACGAACACGCCCCTCGCCTGCCCCACACCCGCCGCCCGCGCTGCAACCACTGCGGTGTGCGCAGCGCGAAGCGTTGGCGCGGCGGAAGCGGGGGAGGGAGCGCGACCGACGGCGAGCGCACGGGGTAGGGCGACGAGGGTGCGAGTCAGTGCCTCTGGGACGAAACATCGAAGCGGGGATGATCAGGAAATCGACGACTGGGAGGCCTGCGGAGCTGATCTGCCTGCGCCTGCGATCCAATCAGCGCCCGGCGCACCTTGCGCCGAGATCGAAAAGCGCGGCGCGCATGACACGAGTTGGAAGCGAGCGAGGAGGTCTGATGCTACTGGTGGTGCTTGCAGTGGCGGCGATGCGTGAAAAGAAGGTGCAACGGCGGACGGCCGTGCTGGGGGTTGAGGGACGCGCCGCATCGACACGGCGGACTCGAGAGAGGCGGCGATGCACGGCATGCGGGGGAGTGCGGGGCGGGCGGTGAATGCGGCAGCGGTGGTGGTGAAGGCGGAGCGCAGGTGACGCGCGGATGAGCGAAGAGCGGAAGGCATGGCTTCTTGACCACGCGAGTGGTGTGGTGTGACCCGTGATTATGGTACGGTATGCCTAAGGGCGCGTGTGGTATGTTTAGAAGTTCAAAATAAAGTTCGAACTTTGGGTGGTTACCCTATTCGCTAATTTCGCGAAGGGTGCTTCGCGAACCAAGCATTGTATGGGCTCTGCAAAAGTTCGAGTTTGAAATATGAACTTGACTCGAGTCGGAGGCGCGAACGTGCGTGCGCACGTTCATGCGAGCGTGTGTGATTTGCAGCACGTCCGAACAGCTGGCGAAACGGGCGAGCGCTTCGCCAGTGCATGAAGTTGCACAACGAAGACACCCCACAATTCGTGCACACAGTTGTAGTCACGTGTCCAGCATACAAGGTGTTGCCATGGGGGCTATTTGTACCCTGGTTACACACTCGGCGCGGAAGGTGAGTTGGAGCTCTAGGTCCTTGTAAACCGAGGCGCAAAATGTTGACGTGGCGCACCGTCAAGACGAGCGAACCGGGTAACCTATGATGTTGACGTGCGGCTCGGCTCGTTTTTACAAGTTCGAATGTCGGGGTTCGACCTTGTATGTGTGTGATTTTTTACAGTGTGGTGAGCCCGATGTTCGAACTTCGATAGAAGGAAATTCGAACTTCTTTCGTTGTAAGTTCGAAACTAAAATTCGCCCTAAAAACATGAACTTTTACAAATTTCAAAGACCTCACGCGCCCTAATTGGCTACGTACACGTTAGTACTCACGTTCACTAGAAATATGAGCCCCACATTTATATGGTGGAAGCATTCATTCAAGCTGACACTGCTGATATGGCTCACAAAGAATTCTATCACCCAACCAAATTTCTGTATTTCTTTGTTGCTCTTTTGATTTCACTTATATAATATCTAGGAGTTGCAATACACCGTAAGGTTGTCATAGTGAGACATGTACACAACAAATCGCATTACTGGGAAATATACCAGACAGACAGGTCCTGTCCTGATATTGTGCACGTGAGTGCACTGAGCTGAGCTGCTGAATTTCTTGAACCATTTACACAATCGGCAGCTCCCCCTACGTGCATTTCTCCTGCTAAAGAAGTATTCAAGCTTGGAAAATTCACAATCGAGACTTGGGCCTGCTACCACCTTCAAGATTACCCATTTCCTTCGCCCTTTCCCTCAAAACAAACTTTTGAATCTTGCCCGTCGCGGTCTTGGGCAGCTCCGTAAAAACAACCGTCCGGGGCGCCATATAATGCGGCAGGTGGTCGCGGCAAAACGCGATTATATCCCCCTCACCCACACGCGCGTGCTGCTGCCCTGGCTTGCGGCACACAAAGGCGCACACAGACTCCCCCCACATGGTATCAGGGCGGGCCACCACTGCAGCCTCCAGCACGGATGGGTGGCGGTATAGCACTGCCTCCACTGCTATGCTGCTCACATTCTCACCACCCGATATGATGATGTCCTTTGAGCGATCCTGGTGGAGGACAGAGGTGCGCAACATAACGTGGGAGATATGGAGGGTGGGATACGAGTGGTGTGGTGCTTGTGGAGCTGAGAGCGTGGGAGATGTGTGGGGCGGAGATACATACCATCCCACAATCTCACCATCCCATCATCCCACCATCCCACCTTGAGTTGATTGTGGGTGCATGACAGCCAGGTCCCCCGAGTGGAACCATCCACCTTGGAACGCTGCCTCAGTGGCAGCCGGGTCAGCCGCATACCCCTTCATCACCATGTTGCCCCTCAGCATCACCATGTTGCCCCTCAGCATCACCATTACAAGTCGACTGTAATTGCACCTTGCATCACCACAAACCCACCATCCCACCAACCCACTATCACCGCACCTTGACTTCAATGTACCCATCGGGGTGCATGACAGCCAGGTCCCCCGAGTGGAACCACCCGCCTCGAAAAGCCGCTTCAGTAGCCCCCCGGTCGGCGGCATACCCCTTCATCACCATGTTCCCCCGCAGCATCACCTCCCCCATGCTGCGCCCGTCTGCTGCCACGTGGCGCATTGTGACTGGGTCCATGACTGCTAGTCCTTCCAGGGCCATGCACCGCACGCCCTGTCGGTGGGGAGGAGATGGGGGGAGAGAGGGTGGTGCGAGGAGTGGTGGTAAAAGGAGGGGTTGGGAAGGGGAGGTGGTAAAAGGAGAGGGATGTAGGAGGAGAGACAACAAAGAGAGGGGTTGGGGAGGAGAGGTGGTAAAAGGGCACGGGTTGAGAGGAGAGGTGGTGGAAGGAGAGGGGTTGAGAGGAGAGGTGGTAAAAGGAGCCGGGGCGGGAGGAGAGGTGGTAAAAGAGAAGGGCTGTTGCTTTGAAAGCGAAGGCGAATGCAAACAAGGATCGCAAGGGTTATGACATTAAGCAGGACGGGACGAGCGGCAAGAAAAGGTGGATGAGCGAGATTAAGCTGGTTGGCAAGTCGCACCAAACCTGCAGGCCAGACGACAGGATGGAGATGACCTACTGCAACGGGCTTGCGATGTCCGTCTTTGACAGGTGCATTGGCTGTGTCTTCCTTGACGAGATAACAAACATGCCGATTCAGATACTGCTCGCCATCTCGTCAAGGAAGACACGGCCAATGCACCTGTCAGAGATGGACATCGCAAGCCCGTTGCAGTAGGCCACCTTCATCTTGTCATCCGACCTGCATGTGTTGCGCGACTTGCCAGCCAGCTTCATCTTCTCCCATCCACCTTTTTCCGCCGCTCATCCTTTCCTGCCTTACACCATGTCCCTTGCGATCCCTTTCCCACCTTCGCCTTCGCTTTCGAAGCAGTGGCTTTTCCCTTCAGTTTCACCTTTCCTCGCCCGCTCATACGCCTCCGTCAGCCCGTATGCATGCAACACTTCAAACTCCATCACCTCCATCCACAACCAATGCACCTCTACCGACCCCTCACCCACCTTCCACCCGCCACACCACATGCACCATGTACTGCACACCTCTAATCCTGAACCTCCACCCCCCATTCCACCCAGTATGCACCATCCACGCCTCACCCCACCTGTCTCGCCTTGAGCCTCGATTGCTCGCTCTCATCCGCCCCTCGCCACCGCTCTTGCTGCCACTCGCATACCACAGCTGGCCCATACGTCTCCATCAGCCCGTATGCATGCATCACCTCAAACCCCATCGCCTCTATCCCCTACCAATGAACCTCTACCTAACCCCCAGCCCTCAATCCACACACCATGCAGCATGCACCATGCACACCCCTAATTATACATCTTGCATCCACCACAAATCATCCACAGTCTCTCACCCACCTGTCTAGCCTTGAGTCTCGCCTGTTCGCTCTCATTCATTCCGCCCCTCTCCACTGTTCATGCTGCCACTCGCACACCACAGCCGGCCCGTACGTCTCCGTGCAACACATCAAACCCCATCGCCTCTATCCACCTCCAATGCACCTCCACCCCTCTTACCCACCTGTCTAGCCTTCAGCCTCGCTCGTTCGCTCTCATCCGCCCCTCTCCACCGCTCTTGCTGCCACTCGCACACCACAGCCGGCCCATACGTCTCCGTGAGCCCGTAAGCATGCAGCACGTCAAACCCCATCGCCTCTATCCCCGCCAGCACTGCTGGTGGCGGCGCTGCCCCCGCTGTCATCACATGTACCCGCCTCGCCTCCTGCCCCCCCCCGCTGCTGCCCTCCCTATTCCCCTCACTATAGCCACCCCTTCTGCCTTCCCTGCTACCCTCGCTATTGCCCTCCCATCTGCCCTCGCTATAGTCACCCCCTCCACGCCCCTGGGCGCGCTGGGCGGCGAGGAAGGGCAGGCGGAGGGAGTCAGGCGCGTGGATGAGGAAGGAGAGTACCACGGGGGCTGCACACATGTGGGTGACTCGGTGGCGCGGGATGAGAGAGAATATGCTGGCCGCTGTGACCTGGTGGGGAGGGGAGGGGACGCATGGTTGTAGGGAGTCGGGGGCGTGGATGAGGAAGGAGAGCACCACGGGCGCGGCGCACATGTGGGTGACGCGGTGGCGCGGAATTAAAGAGAAGATGCTGGTCGCTGCCACCTGGTGTGGGGAGGAAGGGCAGGCGGAGGGAGTCAGGCGCGTGGATGAGGAAGGAGAGCACCACGGGGGATGCACAATTGTGTGTCACTTGGTGCTGGGGGATATGAGAGAATATGCTGGCTGCTGTGACCTGATGGAGTGGGGGTGAGGGGGGTGGGTGGGGGAGTCGGGGGCGTGGATGAGAAAGGAGAGCACCACGGGCGCGGCACACATGTGGGTGACGCGGTGCCAGGGACCGAGAGAGAAGATGCTGACTGCGAGGTAGGTGGGGAGGGGGTTGGGTGAGAGAGGAGGGTGCGTGGATGAGGAAGGGGAGGACGACAGGAGAGGCGCACATGTGTGTCACTCGGTGGCGAGGGATGAGTGAGAATATGCTGGCTGCTGTCACCTAGTGTGGTGGGGGAAATGGGTGTGGAAGTTGGGTGCGTGGATGAGGAAGGAGAGGACGACAGATTCTGCTCACATGTGTGTCACTCGGTGGCCAGGGATGAGAGAGAATATGCTGGCTGCAGTCAACTGACGAAAAGGGAAGGGAAGGAGCATGTGTAGGAGAGGAGGGTGTGTGGATGAAGAAGGAAGAAGATCACCACGAATGCGGCATAACACAAAGCAGAGGATGACCGTGCGGCTGGTTAACAACTGGCCCATGGAGGTCAAGACTTTTGGCGAACCGAATCATGAATTCTCGATGGCACGCACTTATTTGTGTTGCGCAACGTCCTTCTGGTCTGGGCTTCTTGCGCTACCCTACTCGTGGCTAAGACGGAAGACATGCTCCCGTGGCTGTCCGATCTTCGCCATTCTTGTCGACCGAAGGATCCATACGACGGGTCCTCCTACTCTTAGAAGCTCGGTCTTCCGGTAGTGGCTGAGGGTGACCCCACCTCCGAGCGCATCCCTGCTGTGATCTGGCTTCCTGATGAGTAGGAGCCAACGCTTTTGAATCTATTATGTCACTCTTGCACAGTGTGCTCCAGCAACCACCGCATCAGTGACCATGCGTGCTTCGTGCTCACCTGCCGGCAGCACCTTCCCAATAAGCACACCTTTTTGGTGGCTCAACTCCAAACCTAATTTATTGTATATGTATATATCCCGATGAGCTAGCAAAATGATGTGCTTGATGGAAAGGAGCTGCCGACGGGTGAGCACGAAGAACACGCATGGTCAGCGACGCGGTGGTTGCTGGAACACTCCGTGCAGGAGTGACAGAAAAGATTCAGCAGCGCTGGTTCCTACTCATCAGGAAACCAGAGCACAGCAGGGATGCGCTCAGAGGTGGGGTCACCCTCAGCCACTACCGGAAGACCGAGCTTCTAAGAGTAGGAAGACCCGTCGTATGGATCCTTCAGCCGACGGAAACGACGAAGATCGGACAGCCATGGAAGCTCGTCTTCCATCTTGGCCAAGAGTAGGGTAGTGTGGAAGGATTCCTGCGAGAAGCCCAGACCAGGAGGACGTTGCGCAGCACAAATAAGTGCGTGCCATCGAGAAGTCGTAATTCGGTTCGCCAAAAGTCTTGACCTCCATGGGCCAGTTGTTAGCCAGCCGCACGGTCATCAGGAAAAGTATGCTAAAAAAAACCGTGCGCCTGGCTAACAACCAGCCACACCCCACCGTGCCACACCCCACCAAGACACATCCCACCAAGCCACACCCCACCAAGCCACACCCCTCTACGCCACACCCCTCCACTCCACAGCCCTCCACACAACACCCCTCCACGCCACACCTCACCACGGCACACCCCTCCATGCCACACCCGACCGTGCCACGCCCAACCGTGCCACGCCCGACCGTGCCACGCCCGACCATGCCACGCCCGACTGTGCCACGCCCGACCGTGCCACGCCCGACCGTGCCACGCCCGATCGTGCCATGCCCGACCGTGCCGCGACCCACCATGCCACAGCCCACCGCGGCACACCCCACCATACCATACCCGACCTCGCCACACACCTCCCTCCAGCACACGTTGGTGCCAACAACAGTGGCGAGCACCCAGGGGTAGGTCCAGCCATTGCAGTGGAAGAGAGGCCACACCTGCTTGCAACACACCCCCCCATACACCTCTCTCTGCCCCTCCACATACCTCCCTGCAACAAACATTCGTGCCAGCCACAGCGGCGAGCACCCAGGGGTAGGTCCAGCCATTGCAGTGGAAGAGAGGCCACACCTGCTTGCAACACACCCCCCCATACACCTCTCTCTGCCCCTCCACATACCTCCCTGCAACAAACATTCGTGCCAGCCACAGCGGCGAGCACCCAGGGGTAGGTCCAGCCGTTGCAGTGGAAGAGAGGCAGCGTCCACAGGTACACGGGGCGCTGCCCTCCTGGCAGCGCATGGAGTCCCCACGCTAGCACGTTCGCTAGGGCTGATAGGTACGCACCTCTGTGCGAGCATACCACACCCTGGGGGAATGGGGAAAAGGGGAGAGAGAGTGGGGAGAGAGCTTCAGGAAGAGAGGCAGCGTCCACAGGTACACGGGGCGCTGCCCCCCTGGCTGTGCGTGCAGCCCCCATGCTAGCACGTTGGCCAGTGCTGATAGGTACGCGCCTCTATGTGTGCACACCACACCCTGAAGAAGTGGTGGAAGAGGGAGTGGAGAAGGCTTTTGAGTCGACTCAAAACTCCCTAGGGGGATGTGGGAAACGGGAGGGAGTGTGGTCGCCTGGCAGCGCATGCAGCCCCCATGCTAGCACGTTCGCAACGGCTGATAGGTACGCGCCCCTGTGCGTGCATACCACGCCCTGGGGGAATGGGGAAAGGGGAGAGAGTGTGGGGGAGGGAAGGAAAAGACCTTTGTAACACCTTCCGATTCATGCAAGGACTGCTCGAGTGGGGGGTAATCTTCAAGAAGAGCGGTAGCGTCCAGAGGTACATGGGGGACTGCCCGCCTGGCAGCGCGTGCAGCCCCCATGAAGATCCACGTCCACATGCTAGAACGTTTGCTAGGGCTGATAGGTACGCGCCTCTATATGTGCACACCATGCCCTGGGGTGGGGGGATGGGGGGAGTGGGAGAGAATGAGTGGAAGCGTCCAGAGGTACACGGGACGCTGCCCACCTGGCAGCGCGTGCAGCCCCCAGGCAAGGACGTTCGCCAGGGCTGAAAGGTATGCGCCTCTATGTGTGCACACCACACCCTGGGGGGAATGGGGGGAGAGGGAGAGAGGCAGCGACCACAGGTACACGGGGCGGGGCGCTGCCCTCCTGGCAGCGCATGCAGCCCCCATGCTAGCACGTTGGCTAGGACTGATAGGTACGCGCCCCTATGTGTGCACACCATGCCGTGGGGGAATGCACGGAGAGGGAGAGAGTGAGCGACAGTGTCCAGAGGTACACGGGGCGGGGCGCTGCCCGCCTGGTAGCGCGTGGAGCCCCCATGCGTTGGCCAGGGCTGATTGGTACGCGCCCCTATGTGTGCACACCACGCCCTGGGGGGACTGGGTAGGCGGAAGGGGAGGGGAGGAGAGTAGAGAGGGAGCACAAGGGGAAACAGAGAGGCTAGGCAGGGGCAGAGGGGAGAAGGGTGTGCATCCTCCACGCGAGCACGTTGGGCAGCACTGCTATTTTGAGGCGCCTCAAAAGTTGACTTTTTGCGGCGCCTAAAAAGACGATTTTTGAGGCGCCTCAAAGATTGTGCAGCCCCCACGCGAGCACGTTGGGCAGCACTGCTAGGGAGGGAATACACGCCTCTGTGCATACACACGCACACCATGCCATGCCCTGGCGCAGGGAGAAAGAATGTGGGTGTGGGGGGGAACGGGGAGCAAAAGTTTTACGAACTTTAGGATTCTCAAAAGCTGTATGGTAAGCTGCAGAAGCACGATCAAGAACAGCAGCCGGTGGCAGGCAGGCACTTGGACGCAATGAAAGCAGAGGGCAGAGCAGGTTGGGCATGGGAGGCAGAGGGAGGAGCGAGCGAGCGAGGCACACGTGAGAGCACGTTGGGTTGGGCGGTGGCGCCTGATGTGTAGTTGAGAGCAATGGCATCCCAGTGGCCCTCCACCACGCCCCTACTCCCATCATGTGCCATCATGGGAGCGGCGGCTTTTGAGTTGACAAAAACGAAAACTCTCATATCACCTTGGGTTGGGCGGTGGTGCCGGAAGTATAATTGAGAGCAATGGCATCCCACTCATCCTCCACCACGACCCTTCTCCTGCCCTCGCCCTGCACGCCCTCCTCTCCACCCTCCCACTCCCACTCGTACTGCTCATCCCCTTCCCCTACCAGCTCCTCATACGTCACCACTCCCCCCCTCTCCCCTCCCCTTCCCCTTCCCCCCCTCCCACCCTCTCCCCGTCCTCCTCTGTTCAGTGATGCTGCCAGGGCTGCCACGTCAGCAGCGCTGCCACCTGGATCGCTCTGATCGGATGGCTCTTCGTCATCTTCGATAATGACAACCTGGACGGGAAAGGGTGGGGGGAAGTGCATGGTTGGGAGAAGGCAGGGCAGGTTACATGCACGAACACAGGGAGATGGGGACGACAAGCCTATCTTGTTGCACATCTTTTCATACAGTTCTCAAGGAAATGGGGAAGGGGAGATAGGAACGGGGAGAAGATGAACGGCGAAAACAAGTATAGCTTGCGCCAACGCGACACATGACACATCACACATCACACATCCAACTCACCACCAGCACCACCCACCTGCGGCATGCCTGACACACGTCCCTTCTCCCTCAATAGACCCGGCAGCAGCAGCAGGGCATCAGTGAGCAGCGGTGCCAGGGAGCGGTGCGCCATGACAAGGCGGGCAGAGCCGTGGGCGAGGATGAGGGCGACTGTGCGCGCGTCCAGGCGCGTGTTGATGGCGTTCAGCACGGCCCCCGCCATGGGCACTCCAAAGTGTGCCTCATAGAGCGCTGGTACATTGGGCGCCAGCACTGACACCTGGGGGTTGGGGTATAGAGTGGTGGAAGGGGGACAGAGCGGGCAGGGAGAGGGGATGAGGATGAGGACGACGGCACGCGCATCCAGGCGCGTGTTGATGGCGTTCAGCACAGCGCCCGCCATGGGCACTCCGAAGTGTGCCTCATAAAGAGCTGGCACATTGGGCGCCAGCACTGACACCTGGGGCGGAATGGGGAGAGGGGGAGCGGGGAAGTGGGAGGATTGATGCGAGCGAGATTACGAGCGTCCAGATGAGCGTTGAGAACATCACCCACCATACGCACACCAAAATGCGCCCCATAAAGAGCAGGAACGTTACGTGCCAGCACTGAAACCTGGGGGGAGAAGGGGGAGAAGGGGGAGAGGGGGAGTGGGGGAACTGGGAGGATTGATGAGGGCAACGGTGTGGGCGTCCAGGCGCGTGTTGATGGCGTTGAGAGCAGCGCCCGCTATGGGCTCTCCGAAATGCGCTTCATAAAGAGCAGGTAGGTTGGGCGCTAGCACTGCTACCTGGAGGGACAGATAAGAAGCAGCGGAGGGAGGGTTGGGGTTGAGGGTGGTTGTGTTGTGGTGGTATCGGGGTGAGGGGGGTGCTGTGATGACATGGGGAGTAGAGGTGCCTGCGTGTTGACGGCGCTCAGTGTTGCGAGATGCCAGGACGGGGCTGGGAGGGAGTGGCGGGAGGGCGGATTGGGAGCTGGCCTTAACGCATGGTGGATGGAAAGGGGAAGCACATGGATTACGGATTGGGGAGGAAAAGCGCGGACACGAGATGCTGCCTCGGGCGGCGTTGCTGGGAGCAGGTCCACGCGCCACGAGGCGGCGCTGCTGGGCAACGGCCTCTTGGATCTGCGCGGTGCCACAGCCACGCGGAACCGGCCACCAGCCACGCGGAGCCGGCCACCAGCCACGCGGAGCCGGCCACCAGCCACGCGGAGCCAGCCTCGTTCGGCACAACACATCAAAGGACATATTAACCTCTTATGGTGGGGTTTGCGGCTTCCCCCGATGGAATAACGTTGGAAACACAAACCAGACTCGACAGACAGATGGACGGACCGTGTCGTTCTTCCCGATGCCGCGGCGGCGCAGCGCGGACGCGAGTTTGCAGCAGCGACGGTACGTCTGGCGCCACGTCCACGAGTGGTCGCCGTACACCACGGCGCATCGGTCGCCGTGCACGTCGGCGGCGCGGCGGATGAAAGTCAACGGAGTCAACGGAGCGTAATTCGCCGCGTTTCGAGGAAGCGCGTCGTTATCGAAAGGACTCGTCATGGTTTCTCCCGAGAAAAAAAATAGTCACGCGCGAATAACGCCCGAATAACGCGCGAATACCGGCCGAATAGCATCCAAATAACACGCGAGTAACACCCGAACAAGGGCCGAATAATACGCGCCCGTATAACGTCGAAATAACGCGCGGATTTCGGTAGAGCCTCGGTGTGCTCTCTGCGAGCACAAATTCTGGACGAGAAAGAGTTTTCCAAAAGAAGCAAGCAGGAAATTCGGGAGGAAAAGGAAGAGCAAGCAGGAACTAGGAATTCGCGAGGTCGTGCGGAGAACAGCAAAGAGCAGCTGACCAGGTAGAGGAAAAAGGGAGGGGAGGAAGGAACCCTTCGGACACTGACTGGCTGACCGGCTGGCTGATGTGGAAAGCGGGGTGAGTGACGTGGTGCGATTGATAGGGAGCAGGGTTGGAGGGAGATGTGGTAGGGCGTTACGAGTGCAACGCGAGTGAGCGAGAGCGCTGCACTATCGAAGCAAAACAGTCCATTGAGCGAAGGCATAAGCAGAACTATATAAGCTGTAAGGGAATTTCCTTTCCCTTACGTCGCATCCCTACATTACTGTTTCTCACCACACTCAGCACCGTTACCACTTGCGACACTCGCCTCGACTATTTCCCGCCACCTTGCCCGTCGCAGCCCAACCTCACGGCTCGTAACTCGCGCTCCGGGCCTCCGTTTCGACACTTCCCGACCTCAGTCCCAACCTCAGTCACAGGCCCATCGCGCGTCACCCGCAGTTTGTTACCGTTACCACGATGGCCTTCGTTATTTAGCTGTCACTCATTCCTTCGCTCATTGTACTGTTTTGCTTCGATGGTGCAATTTTCGCCCGCTCGCTCGATTGCACTCGTAACACTTGGTATCAGAGCCTCGGACCGCACCCACACATTGGCTTCCCCACTATCTCCATTTTTGGAGGTGGGTAGACGTCTCTCAGCGAGCAAGCACCGCTGATCGAAGTGCTCTCTTGTAAGCACGCACGGCCCCGACCGAGGCACTCACTGAGCTCACCCGACACCCCCGCGGCCCCGCCATGGCCGAATTCAACGTCGCCACGTTGACGAAGGAACAGCTCGATCGTCTCGTGCGCCAACTCAAAAATTCGGCACTTGAAGTCATGACACTCATGGCGGAACTTGACGCCGCCCGCCGGCAATCAGCGACGAACGCACCTGCGCCAACACAGGCGCCTGAAAATGCACCTGCACAAATGGATGAACCAAACGTCATCTATTCCGGCACACCGTCACAGCATGACAATGTGGGACAGCGCTTCGGCGCAGCGAGTGATGGCGCCGCCCAGTCAATGCCTCGCATGACGAGAGCCAAGGTCGTTCCGACCGTGAATACGCCTCGCGAGGGCCGTCGCCACGTCTGATTTGCGACGTCTGCGGACAACGACGAACTCCACGAGCCGATGCCGCTCAAACCGCAGTTCAGATATGCACGGCGGTCCGACAGTTCGGTCGTGGGTCTTCACGATGTCTTCTTCAGCGCAAACTACGTCATCTCGGACGCAGCGAAGATCAAATATGCGGCTTCGCTGCTACGGGACCCCGCCATGGACTGGTGGCGAGTTATCGTAACGTCGCCATGCGCCTACGAGCCTAGGAAGAGCCCACAGGGCCGGCCGTTACTTGGAGTTCGTTATGCGAAATAGCCCAATGCAGCACGTGTGGTGCGCAGGGCTTCGGGCGCGCTTCAACCCGGTTGCGGCTTCTATCTCGACGTGTCAGAAACTGCGCACTTGGCGGCAGCTCCAGTCAGTTCAAGACTACACCAGCGGTTTTCTCGCTCAGTGCGAACAGGTCCGCTACATGCACGAGGCGGAACGAATGGACCGTTACGTCGGTGTACTGAAGCCGGACATTTCGCACGAGATAATGCTTCGTGGGCTATCAAATTTCAGCGAGATTCTCGCGCTAACGAAGGCAATCATGGCCTTGTTGTTGACATACAGAACTGGAGGAGAACGAGGCAGCTCTCCCAAGTCGGTCAGCAGGTAGGTGAGCCAGCTTAACTCCTGTGCAGCCATGGCCCCTACGTAGATCTCAGCCTCACAACTGGAGCTGAGAACAGAAGACGAGCGGGTAGATCGCCACGAAACAGAGCCGGAGCCAAGACCGAAGGTGTAACCCTGTGACGACCGCTGCATAGCCAAGTCCTCAACCCAAGAAGCGTCTGTGTGACCAGTGAGGACAACTCGAGCCCGTCCTCCAAGCATGAGCCCCATGCCCGACGTACTGCACAAGTAGCGCATCACCCTCTTAGCGGCCTTCAAGTGCTCTGGTCGGTGTCTCCTGGGCGCAACGTAGCATGCTAGGATGCTAAGAGGGTAAGAAAGGTCAGGTCGACTGCAGGTCATCAGGTACATGAGGCAGCCAACAAGCTCTGGATACAAGCCACTCAGCTCTACGGACTCATCCGAAGGTAGAGCTGAGAGCGAATGACTGGTAGGCAGAGGAGTGGACTGTGGCGAGGAGTACTCAAAGCGGAAGTGCTGAAGGACCTCCTGCACCATGTGTGATTGAGTCAAGGTAATGGTGCACCGTGCTCTGTCCCGAGTGATCTGCAAGCTAAGATAGCTGCACAGCTCATCTAGGTCTGTGCACGTGTGCCTCTTCTGCAGCTCCGACTTCACGTGGGCTAGTCCAGTAGTGCCAGCAGTGGCATAGACCAATTCGTCGACGTACACGAGGATGTAGAACGGCGGCAAGGAAGTGTCGGTGCGTAGAAACAGCAACGGGTCAGTAGTAGAAGGAGCATACCCAAGAACCGCAAGAGTTGTCCTTAGTGTGTTGTGCCACTCGCGAGGCGCCTGGTGGAGACTGTAGACTGGCCGTCGAAGGCTCCACTGGGTACCTGCAGGAAACGATCCAGTGAAGCCAATTGGGCGGCGCTGCCAGCTCTCCTCATGCAGGCTGCCCTGTAGGAAAGCAGTGCTGAAGTCAAGAGAGTGAAGCTCGTACTCACGCTGAGTAGCTGCACCGCGACTACCACTACGACCACTACGCTGAGACTCTTGACGCTGAGAAACCACTCACGAAGCTGTTGGGGTGTAAGGGTCTCACGCGGACGCCGCTGCAGCTGCATCTGGCCACCGCCAGACCTCTTAATTGAGTAGCTACACCGTGACTGCCACTACGGCCACTACGCTGAGATGCCCAACGCTGAGAACACCGATCATGAAGCTGCTGGGGTGTAAGGGTCTCACACGGACGCCGCTGCAGCTGCATCTGGCCACCGCCAGAAACTACCCACCGAACAGCTCCACAGCAAGTGCTACGACGGCCGCCACCACTCCCATTGGTGCCGCCACTGTCGCCACCACTCCCACCGCTGCCGTGAAGAGAAGTCATGCGACCAGCAGGGCAGCACGTAGGGAAGGAAGGGCGGCGAGGAGGCACTAGGGTAAGTTGAGGCGGTGCACGGTCAGGGAAGGGCAGCGTGCGGCCAGAGCAGGGCTGTGCGCTGCTAGAGCAGGGCAGCGCACGGCCAGAGCAGGGTGGCGTGTGGCCAGAGAAGGGCGGCGTGCGGCCAGAGCAGGGCTGAATGCAGCCAGAGCAGGGCGCCGCGTGTCCAAAGCAGGGCGATGCGCGGCAAGAGCAGGGCGGCGCGCGGCCAGAGCAGGGCGGCGCGCAGCTAGAGCAGGGTGGCGTGCGGTCAGAGCAGGGCGGCATGCGGCCAGAACAGGGCGGTAGCTGTGAGGATCTGGGATCGAGCTCAGAAAAGATGATTCAAATTGAATTGAATTGAATGTCCAGCTGGGTACAACACGAGGCTATATATAGGCTCGACACAAGGCCCCGTAACCAGGTGTTACGCGAAGGTTCCGCGGGTCGCGAAGCGTCCCGAATAGATGAGAAAAGAATGAACAAGAATGGAAATGACTAAGTCAGAGTTGGGTACAAATACAACCCTAGAAAGCTGTACCCCATATGTACTACCCCACTATAGCCTACAAACATGCATAAGCTATAATACTCTGACACACCCCCATAGGCAAAGTGGGGGAGAACAAGGGGTCACAAGACCAGTCAAGCAAAGCAAAGCAAAGCAAGCTCAGGGTGGATCACAAAGTCACCACACAGTCCGAGCACAAGAGCAGGGCCAGAGGCCAGTTCACATGCAGGAGTACAGACATATATATAAAACTAGACAAGCAAGAGCAGGTATATATATATGTCACAGAACAAGTAAAGTCAAGAAGAGAGCAAGTGAGGCAAGACAGGCACAAGACCCAGCTGGGTGCAGAAGCGCTGATGGTCACAAGGCGCGAGTGCCTTGGTGAACACATCAGCAGTGTTGGCCTCAGAGGCCACGTACGCAAGTCGCAACTGTCCACGCTGCTGCAGCTCACGAGCAAGGAAGTAGCGGAGAGCAATGTGCTTCGTTCTGTGCTCCAAGCGCTACTCTCGACACAAGGCCAGCATGGCCTTGTTGTCTACGTACAGCACTAGAGGAGAACGAGGCGGCTCTCCAAGGTCAGTCAGCAGGTAGGTGAGCCAGCGAAGCTCCTGTGCAGCCATGGCCCCAGCGTAGATCTCAGCCTCACAACTGGAGCTGAGAACCGAAGACGAGCGAGTAGACCGCCACGAGACAGAGCCGGAACCAAGGCTGAAGGTGTAACCCTGTGACGACCGCTGCGTAGCCTGGTCGTCAGCCCAAGAAGCGTCCGCGTGCCCTGTAAGGACCACTGGACTCCGCCCTCCAAGCACTAGCCCCATGCCCGACGTACTGCACAGGTAGCGCAACACCCTCTTCGCTGCAGCCATGTGCTCTGGTCGGTGTCTCCCAGGAGCAACATAGCGTGCAAGAATGCTCAGAGGGTATGCAAGGTCAGGTCGTGTGCAGGTCATCAGGTACATGAGGCAGCCCACAAGCTCTGGGTACGGGCCACTCGACTCTACGGACTCATCCGAAGGCAGAGCTGAGAGCGAGTGGCGAGTAGACAGAGGAGTGGCCTGAGGCGAGGAGTACGTGAAG